CTTATATTTGTATAAAACTAAAAAAATATTTTTTAACAATATCTTATCTTTATATTAAATCCTAACCATAGTACAATTTTTGAAGAATTTCTTGTCCTCAAAAGAATAGTCTTTTCGTTTGCAGTCTTTATAGTCCAAACATGTCGCTAACTTTTACCATTTACTTTTTCTTTTCTTTTCTATATTTGTTTTGGTAAATAACCATTTACTTGTTTCCATTGATGAGAAAAAAAAAATGGATGAGTCTCGGTAGATTCTGAAACCGCCCCTGGTTTCATGACTTTGGAGATGGAGAAAGAAACCCTACATAATTTAGCATCTTTTATTACTGTTAGCTTCTTATCATCCATCATTAATTGTAGGAGTAATTAAACAAAATGAGATTCCCACTTGTTTCATGCTTTCCCTTTCCAAAATTAATACATCTTCGTTTAGATTTATCTAACCAAAAGGTAAATTAGCGGCAGAGGTGAATATTGGACTGCTATCTATGAAACGTGGCAGGAGTTGATTCCTTGAAGGATTCAACCGTAAAGAAGAGCGCAGCGTGTCCAGGGAACAGTTGGGTTCGGTGGACAAAAGGCAAAAAGAAAAAAAACAACTTTCTTTGGAATGTAGGTAACCATCATTACTTGGCTGGTCCATGACTTCACCATAGGATCTTTCCTCCAAACTCGTTGGAGAATACTTTATATAATTCACTTCTTTTTTCAACACATACCGGCAGAGAGAGAAATGGAGTAGACAAGTACCACTTTCCCATTAAAACATCAATCAATCAAATGCATACAAATAAATATTAAAAATATAAAGTTGCAGAAATTATGGTGCTTTCCCTTCACTAGTTTCTTTGCCTGCTTTCTTGTGACTGTGCAGTTCAGTTACATTCATGGGTGAGTAAAACTACCCCTCTTCTAAAACATTCATCTTTACTTCACCAGTTTTGCTTTTTCTGGTTTTCAGGGTCTTTTCTTTTCTTCTTTATTTTCCTACCTGGTCATTTGGTTCTGTGGGAAAGGATGGGTTTTTGTAGTTTATTAGTTATTGTTGAGATTATTTAACTAATTGATTATTCTTTTCTTTTTTGTGCTTCAAAGTAATGGGAAATGTTGGTGGTAGAGAGGATGGTGAAGGAACTTCAGGAACAAAGAAGAAAGGATATGAAGTGGATAATGAACAATTTAATGCAGACCCAATGCTTCATTCCCCTCCCCATAGTTTTAATAATGAGGCTTATCAGCTTCCTTTCTTATTCCCTCCACAGGTTAGTTATTGGTTGGACTGAAGGGTGGAATAACATGGGGAAAAACTTGATTTTAATGGCTCATTAAATATATGATATTTTGTTCGAGTAAAGTCGTGTGGTTATACAGATCTAGAAATTTATAAACGGGAATTCAAAATTTTAATTTTCTTTTCTTAAAAATAATGGGGTGTAAATTTTTTTTCCTATTTTTTTAATATATTATATTAAATTTCAAATTTTTTCCTAAATAATGGGATACACTTTACTTTACTCCTAGGGGGCTTAGTGCATCCGCGGTTATAGTTTACTTCAACATGTTGTTGCAGTTAGTTCCCTCTGGTGTTGGTTGTACAGTCAGAAAATATTCACCTTTGCTCATCATTTCCTCAGTGTTTCTTTTTGCAAATTATTTATTCCTTCATGTGTGTTTAGATGCTCTGTATCATAGTTTTTGCTGCAGTTGAATCTTTTGGAATGCTAGATATGCACGCGATTTTGTATTAGATTGATATCTATAGGAATAAAAACACATCATTTCATAGGTATGCCAAGAATTTAACACTTGAAATGCTTGCTCATGAGGGTTTAGAGTTTTTTTATCTTGATATGGAATCTATTGTATTAACTGAAAGAAATCCAATACCATGGTATTTGAATTTGTATATTTAGATCCCTATGTTTCCCTGGTTAAGATCTGCTGAAGTGATCCAAGACCAAAATGATGTGCTAGTGCAAAACACTAACTTGCCATGGGAGTACAACGATTCAGGCAGACCTTTGAATTTACAGGTATTCTGAAGCTTTTTTTTATGAACTTCACACATTAGATTTACATTTCAGATCAGTGCATGCAAAGTGTCTCCTTTGCTGAATATCTGTGCATGAACTTTCACCAAATAGTGCATGAAAATGCAATGTTATATGGAAATAGATAAATTCACACAATGCTCATATGAGACTTATTCAAGCATATTTTGTCTTGTTTTCCTTCTTCCCCCCTTTCAATCTGGGTGCCTGCCTTTTTAGTCATTACAAAAAAGGTAAATTTATTATCTATGGACCTTTTAGTTACCTCCATACATATAGGAATTGGGTTTTGTTGTTGTTGTTGTTGTTGACCTTTTAGTTACCTCCCACTTAAGTATAACTCATGGAACACTAGGTGTGTTGAAGGAAGTGGTTGGATTCTCTGAGCTAGTGGAACCTGACTAAGAATGAGATTCTTGAATTGATACCCCGTCCCCACCAAAAAGAACAAAGAATCATAGCCTTTTCAATTTTGCTCCAAAAATCTCCTTGAAAAGTTTTGCTGCTTTTGCAAATAGACTGAATCCAAGCCATATGCATCATCTTACTCTTTATTTGCCAAACCCAAATAAAAGGATGTTTGTAAATTGATTTTGTTACCAGCACACAATCCATTCATTATAGTACCAGGTAAAGTAATTCAGCATTGTTACAACTTATTACTCTTTGCTATATTTGTAAGGGTCTCATGTTTACAGCCTATTTATGGTCTGCATGTCTACTTTCTTATTTGCTTCAAGGGAATAGGCTTCTTTGTCTTTGTGAACTATTGTGACCTTTGAAGAGTTCCAGTTGTAAATGAAGTGTAGTGCATGTTGATTGTACATGTTTTATTCTCAAAATAAAGTTAGGAAGGAGATATTTTTCTGCATATTATGCTAAAAGGAAATGAAATAGCTACGCTTGTTTATGAAGGTATTCTATTATCTACAACATGGTAATGGAAAATCCAATCGTGTTGCATTTCTTTCTCCAGATCTCTGGGGCTCCCTTGCCCGACCTGGTCAAGTGATGCAAATCCGAAACGATCCACCAGTACAGAAGTTGATGGCCTACAAGGATTTCGACCTAGAGGAGAAAGAGCAGTGATGATAACATGGTGTTTTGGCGGCAAGAAAGTAGCTATTACTGGATCATGGAACGATTGGAAGACAATGTACTGGAATCTCTGTTATAGTGTTATGGAGTCTATGTTTGAAGTTCCATTCTTTAGCTTCAGCAGTTTTCTCTTCACGGTCTAAATTGCAGAGCCTTTGTTTCTTCTCCTTTCAGAGAACCCTTGCACTCTTTGGGTAAAGATTTCATTATCATGAAGATGCTCCCATGTGGTGTTTACCACTACCACTCATTGTTGATGAGATAAGGAGATATGCTCCAAACTTACCCTGCGAATTCGATGAGTCCGGCAATGCTTATAACATTTTGGATTTGCAGGTATTCTCCAGCTTCATTTTACACTTAAATTGCAGATTCAAGTAAAGCTATGATAAGCTATTCGCATGTTTAAGTAGCGACGGTCTAATGATGTGTTGTAACAGGAGTTTGTTCCAGAAGCTCCCGAAAGCCTCTCAGAGTTCGAACCTCCTCCTTCCCGATATCGAGCTATGAATCAACCACTAAACAATAGTGATTTCAGCAAGCCTCCGCCTGAACTGCCTCCACAGTTACCGACAAAGATAGTAGACGAACGATCATTTATTAATCGGAAGCCAAAGTCCTCGCGAAGGCCTTCTCATACATTGCTGGACCATCTTTATAAGCAAGATGGTGATGATGGTCAGTCTATGGCACTTTGCTCAACACAACGGTTTCTTCAAAAATATGTAACTGTAGTACTATACAAGTCCGTGCATAGGTAAATTAAAAAGAATTTGAAGTTCTACAACACTTTAGCTTGATAAATTTACAACGTAAGTACTCAGAAGAAGAGTGTGCTAACATTAACAAGTTCTTACGCTAGAAAGCCGAGAAGGCTAAATTAAAGATGCATTTCGAGTGAATCGACGCTGAAGATCCGATTCTTGCATTCTTATGATCATCGAATTGATACCTTAATCCAGCTATTAGCAAAAGCAATGGTTAAGATTACGAAGGGTGTTGACATTCCAAAAATGATAATGTAAGGAAGAGGGGTCTTATACTCTTATGGGATTCTCTCCTTCCCTTTCTCTTGCAGTTTGCCAATACCTGCATTTCAATCACCTGGAACTTGAATTGCCATTTATTTCTCTAGGAAAATAATCAAGAGGCCAAATTCTGCAAAAAAATTGTTAATAAACTAGCTGAAGAACGGTACTCACTGCGCTGGCTCTTCTTCTTTTGTTATAATTTTCTTCTTTCCTTTTGGCTTGAGCTCTCCTTCTCCTTCCCCTAACAAACCAAGCCAGTTTCTTCATTATCATAGTTAAAAGAAACCCAAACTCTTAAAACTTTAGAATATAGAAATCATCCAGTAAAAGAAAAGAAAAGAAAATTCAATGGAAAATGTAAATTACCTAAGTTTGCATGAATTTTGAACTGATGGAGCCTGGTGTTATGGGAAGTGAGAGCACAAGGGAAAGGTGATGCAGAATATGAAGAGTTGGGAAAGAGAGGAATCTGAGTGATAAGAGAAGAAGAGAGTGCCCCTTTGGCTGCCATTTTCAGGAACAAATTTCTTGAATCTGCTTGTCCATTGTTGGAGCATCACATATATCTCAATGGTTTTGGATGTGGATGTGGTGGTACCTGGTACCTGGTACCTGGAATTGCTATTCTGATAGATACTAGCCTTATCTTTACCAACCTATGACTCGTGAAACGTGGCTCAATGTTGTATACAATTTTGAACAATTTTTTGTGTTTTAAATTTTGACATTTTTTTTATAATTTTGGGTAAAAGACCACATTAGTCCCTCTCAGTTTAGAAAGTGGACAAATTACTTTCTCTAAAATGTAATTTTTACAGATGTCCAAAACTGTTTCATACAACAATTGCTTCAACATGCTTTTGAAATTGAAAACTGAGGCCCTCCCTATTCTTAATGCAGGAGTATCTAATTCCAAAGGTATTTGGGAAGAGATACGAATCAAACATGAAAAGGTACCTTGGCACAAGCCTATCTGGTTTCCCCTTCACATTCCAAAATTCAACATTATTACTTGGTTTGCAATCCTTGATCGACTCCCAACTAGGGAAAGACTTATTCGAATGGGAATTACCATAGTTGGTTCTTGTACTTTATGCAATGATGCCCTTGAAACGAGAAATTATTTGTTTGCTGATTGTGCTATGGATGCTACTCTTTGGAATGGAATTCTAAATCTTTCTCTCTTGGCCAAACCTCATATGTCATGGGATAACAAGCTTGCTTGGGCTTCTTCGACTTGGAAAGGAAAATCTCTCCTTACCACCATCATGAAGATTGCTTGGTGTTCTTTCATTTACTTTGTTTGGGAGGAAAGAAATAGACGTTTATTCCAAGGAAGAGATAGAACCATTGAAGATTTGCTTAATTCCATTAAGGAGATTGTTCGTACTCATCTTAGAAATAGCGATCTAAATAGACTTGATAATGTTAATATGCAACTTTGTACCAATTGGGGTATAGGCTAACCATTCTTTTGTTGTAAATAGTTTTGTCTTTGATCCTTGATTGGGATGTTTTTGTACTGATCTCTTATTTGGATAATAAAATTTTACTTATCCAAAAAAAATGTAATCTAGTCATTGTCAATTTCTAAAAACAATGTTAGTGTTTTTTTGTTGTTGTCAATTTTATATAATTTTGATTGACATAATAATAAATGTAGTTTCTATATTTACATTTATATTAATTTCATCTTAATTCTAAAAAAATCAAACAAGTGATTGATGTTTTGAGTGTGGGCTTGTGGGGTGACAGTTCTCTTCTTTGCAAATCATATATATTTTAAAACAATGGCAAAGGCCCGGTGTCATGGTCCTCCTCTTAACTGATTGAAGTTTTGTTTTCGTTACTGTTCCAGAAAGGTTATTGTGTATTCACCACCAATGGTGCGTGAGAGAGTTGGTGCAGCAGCAACAACAATTCTTATGAAAAGTGTTGGTAGTATCATCTCTATCTATTCTTTCTTTGAAAATAAGTGGATTTCCCACACAATATTCTGTCTCATAGGTTTTAAGAATAGAATCTTGTCGATTGGATGGGACATATGTTCTTCAACAATTGCTTAGTCAAATTGTTGATGGTAAAGGCTTACATTTAGTCATAGCATGTTAAATGCTGCCATGAAAATTGTTAAGACTGGACTCTTTATGTTTTCTAAAATATCTGCATCCGACACATATTCAGACATAAGTATTCGATTTGCCGGTGTTGGACTTGTACATTTATTGAACGTGCACTTGGGTTCAGGGTAACATCGGTCAAAACCGGGTTTGTCTAAATTGATTAGTCAATGGATCACTTGATTTCACTGCGTCTATGTTTGGTAACTGTGGAGGACAAAATCTAGCTGTGGGGTCTGCAAATTGGAGCAGGTCAAGCGCGGCAAAGCTCTTGTCTGCCACAATTAATCCTTACTGTTAATTTAACATACATGGAATTGTTGAGGTTCAAGGGAACCCAAGCCTATGGAGGGTCAGTATCGGTTTCATTGTTCATTAGTTCTTATAATTATTGTGTGTGGTGCATGTGCAAAAGGCCAAGAAAAGGGTCTGCCTTTTTCTTTCTCGACAAAGAGATGCCCTATATATCCTGCAGCTCCCAATGGGACCCTTAGGAACCACACATAGGGTATTCATGAAGGTGATTTTAGTGGTGGGGTTAGTCTCTTTTTCTTTTTGTTCCATTTTCAGATGGAACAATGCTGGGCAGCTCATTGTGAACTGTGAAAATAAAACACTAATCCTCTATAGGATATGAAGATCTTCAAGTTTGATAGGGGAGATTGTCCCTTTATGCCTTCTAAAATGGCTTCAATTGTACATGCAAACGTTTCTTAATGCCCCCCAAGTTTGGGTTAGATTGAGCACCTCACTGTGCGGTTAAAAACTATTTTACTCCTACTGGAATAACTAAATACATGTGTTTTTAGAGGAATATTTGTACCCATGATATATCATAAAAATGTGCTAGGACATACAAGGTAACAGATACTGTAGCAAAATACATATGGACACTCCCAAAAGGATTATATAAATTCACCCAATCTCCGAATAGAGTCGTAGATAGGATACTCGAAGAAAGCACTAACTCAGACTAGTTAAGTAGTTAATTACTCTCTTTCAAGCAAAAAATAAAAGTAAAAATGTGCTAGGAGACAAATATCTTTTATGGTTAAGATAGAGCTTGTGTGAGTATTAGATCTAGGGGAATTTAGTTTATAAAATTCGAGTAGAATCAAATATATTTGTTTGAATATTTGTTCAAATTGAATAAAATATGGATTTGAAGGACTAGATTAAGAAAAAAAAGTAAATTTACTGTAAAAAAGGAAAAAAAATTAAAATTACATAAATACTCTAGGAATATATATTTCAAAATTTGGCTAAAATGTACTTAAAACTAACGAAAATTTGATTTTTTTTAAGGAAATCGAAATCAAAACACAAAACAATTAAATTATTTATTTTATTAATTATTGTTTTAGTTATTTAAACTTTACAAATCCAAATATAAATTAACTCGAATATGTAAAACAATTCAAATAATTTAACATAAAAATATTTTTAATCAAATCGTTTTTTATATAATCACCGTTATTTGATTATTGATTGACTAAACGAATCGGATACTGTAGATGCGAAGGCAACCCTCCCAACCCAGTTCGCTCCATTCGTAAACTCCGGGAATGGAACTCCTAATTTTACTTAAGGAATCTAGTATCTCATCCTATTAAATCAACTGGTTGTTGGTTAATTAATTTTTTAATTACTCTTAAATAAAATATTTTAGAGTTATTGTCGTTTTATTTTTCACATTAAGGATTAGAGCATCACGAATTCAAACCTTGAACTTTGGTGGTTCAACTAACGGATGTATGAGAGATTGGGCTGGTTTATACAGAAACGTTAAAGTGATTGCTGACAAAAAGATTGGTCAGTGTTTTAAAGTTTACCTAATTTATATTGTGTTAGGGAGATGATCACATGTGCTAACTTTAATATACTGTTAAAACAAGTACGAGTGATTTTGTTATTATTATTTTTAACAAAATAGTAAAAAAAATTATCGAAAATATTATTATTTTTAACGATTTTATTATTATTGAACGCTTTATCGGTTTTGGTAATATATCCGATAAACTATTACCTAAAATATTATTTTTTTTTCTACCGGGTTTTCTAGTGCGTTTACCAATACCGGTAATTAAACCAAAATAACTAAATCGATAGAAATAATAATATTTTAGGTAATTTGTTTACCTGTTTTGTTAAAAAAAAATAATAACAAAATTGATAACATTTTTCTTTAACCGTATATTACGGGTGATGTACTGTATAACTTCCCGGTGTACTCTTTTGATTGACTTCCAAGTCAATTGAGAAATTGCTGGATCGCTTCCTTTGATTTTAAAAGGAGAACTGGACAACAACGAACAGCACATGGGTCAACACATTCATACAGGATAATTATCAACTTGGCTGCTACCTCAAGTCTACAACACCTTAATTATGCTTTCAAACAGCAATGATTAATTTACAGCAACCAGTATTTTAAACTAAAACCCATAAATCAAATTCCTGAGGGGAAAAAAACAGGGGAGAACCAAATTATTGTCAAAGTCCCGATGTTGTGTCGAATTCTACTATTGAACCATCAATTGCGAGCTTCAAATTGAATCCCTTCTTTCATTCTCCTAATAAAATCTTCACATTTCTTGTTTAACTCTTCATCACTCAACAACCCAAGTTCTTCATCTTCATCTTCCTCGACTGCAACAAGCTCACTCGATCTTTCTTCTTCTTTTTCATCTTGTACAACCAAGGGATGATCTTCTCTTTGATCAACTTCTGCAGTAACATTTGCTTTTAAAATTGACTCTTTTGGCTCTGATGATTCTGTTTGACCACCTCCCTTACTGATCCTTGGAGTCTTATCGGATTTAATATCAGACTCTACCCCAAAACCACCGAACAAAACAGAGCTGGTGGCAATGAAAAAAAAGAAGTCCATTGCAAAGCAGAAACATGTAATTCTTTCCAGCGCTGAAACTAAAGAGTTGTAAACTGTATGCCAAAGTTCGGAAGTTGCATAACAAAGGGTATGATAATATTACAGAAAGAACTGAAAAGGGGAGCAAAATTTTGGTGACAAGCTTCGGGAAGTGGGAGCTGATGATGGATTGAATTGTTTGGTTTTCGTTTATAATCTCCATAGTTTCTTTCTTCTCAATTCAGCTGTGAAAAAGGGATGGATGGGGAGAAAGATTTGAAAAGTTTAATAGTGAAGAGAGAGTAAGGGGTAGCTTTTGGATGGCAGATGACATTAGCTCAGGGGAGACGATGCAAGAGCTTTATATTCATACAAGTCTGAAATAAAAAAGTTATATTATTTTATATTCAAAAATTAAATTATTTATTATTTTAAAATAATAATGAAAGAATTGATTAAATATGAGGATTAAACCATGCTTTATTCTTAAAACTTTTAATGAGTTGGACAAAAATATAGTGTTTTAAGCTTATATTATCTTATATATCACTACTAATTAAAAAATTAATATATTTCTAATGTTTATATTATTTTATATTGTATGTGTTCGGATTCCAACATTTAATTTGAAAATATAACATCTTTACTTAACGAAAAACCTAATATATTTAAACTTTAATCTACCATCTCATTTATCCTGTGAAATAATATAAAAGAGAACAACTCTAACAACCATTGTTTTGTCTTCCACCAGCATTTATCATAGAGTAGAATGTAAGCAAAGTTTTTAATACTGATATTGATAGCTATAATTAGGTTCTATATTTTGTTGACTTTCATACACTTGAAAAACGTAGTAATCGAAAATTTATATCGACTCAGTTGTAACCAAATGTTTTTTTTTAATTTTAGAATAAATATATATGTGTGTGTGTATGAAATGCATTGAATTTCTGAAAATATCAAATATTTGTTTTTTTAAATAATATAAGAGCACGTGTAAATATTTTAATCTTATTTGTGATTTTAATGAGATAAAATTATAATTCATAAAAAATTATATTTCTAAAACTTATATTAAATACAAAATTAAAGATAAAGACTTTTTTGAATATAAGTTATATAAACTTGGAATTTGCAATATTATAAATTAATTCATACACACACATATATATAAGTACATATAGGCTATTAAATGAAAAATTAATGGTAGATCTCATGTTGAGCTGTTGTTATAGTTATTTTCTTCCTTAAGTAGTACTCATTTATTACTTAGCGCTTGTTGTAAACACAACATTTGAAACTGTCATTAGTACACTTACAATATTTATAACATAAATTAATTTATGCAAAATAATAAAGTTATCTCACAAATAATATAATAAAAACCCTAATTAAAACTAGACATTAGCAACCTTTAAATATGCATCACATATTCCTTGTCTAGTTTGGAGCACAAATCTTATTTAACTAAGTATACTTAATTGTTGTAGAATTTGCTCCATAAATCTTTACTTGTTGAACAAGTAAATTTAATAGGGTAAACGTTACTTTGTCAAACAAGATTTATTGAGAAACAATGTATTCTATCATCAATATATATGTTTTCTTAAATAACTATTATGAAATAAAATTAATATTTATCTTTAAAACACATCATCTAATACAAAATAATATCCCAAAATATCATAATAACATTTAAATAAAATTCAATAATAAAACAATTTAGAACGTTGTGATTGAAACTAATCATATCAATACTAGATCCAATAAACGCTATCTCAATCACTTATGAATACAAATCTACTTCTACTTATTTTACACCAACAAAATAAAATGGCATTTTCTGGGGAAGGTAGGTCTTTCAATTTGGCATTCATGTAGTACATCTCTATATATTAGTATATAATACATTAGCTTTGGTGACTTCATTGATTCTGAATTTTTTTTTCCTTTATCAGGTTTATATCTTTTGACTGTAATTTTTTCACATTTGTGTTTTCAGTAATTAATCTCAAACTACTTTTATCTCTGTAATTATATGTTTTGCATATAATTAATATGACAGTGTAAATACAAATAATATGTTTAATATTTATGTTATACATTTTAAAATGTTGATAATAACATAAAATATGTATAGCACATGTTATAAGGTTCATGTCAGATATATCCTGTTAACACATTGCACATAAAATATTAAATATATCAATTATACAATATGTTGTTCATTCATATATATACTTCACATCAAATGTAATTTATTAACATATGGTATCACATTTACATTACGTGGATTTTCATCAGTAATAAATGATAAATAATTTGTTAATAAAATTAATAAATACTGAAGTATATCTGTTATATATATATATATATATATATATATATATATATATATATATATATATATATAAATTAAAGAGGTAATGTAAACATTACGTACAATATAACCTACGTTATATAAAATATAAAAGAGTATTTGATATGTTGTGAGTACATAAATCTTATATACTATACGATGAATTATAAGCAATCATATCTTAAATTCATAATTCATCAGTGGACTATTAATATTGAACATGTTTAGTTTGAATGGTTGATGCACTTGAAAAACAAGACTCCAAATATGTTCATATCATCTAACACCCTATATTAGTTCGAATCTTAACATTTACCTTAAAAATGTTATATCTCTTTATTTAATAAAAAAATGTTAATATTTTTTTCAATTATATATAAAAAGACAATTATGTCAAAATATATTTAAATTCATAACTTTTAAAAAATATTAATTGAACTACAAAATTTGGTCGATCAATACATAAATGTAGATAGTACTTAATCACACCAAAATTATTAATCTCTTCTGTAAAGTTTATTACTTTGCATTTATTTTCAACTACAAACTGCCTGGGAAAAAATCAATTGTAACATCATCTGCAGCTAATTTAAATTCAAAATCATGTTGTTAGTGTCGGTTGAGTGTTCATATTTGTATGATTCTCCTTTTCCAACCAGTCATAATCAGCTTGGTATATCTCCCATAAAAAATGATTTAAAAAAAAAGATAACGTAATTATAAATTTAAAATAATTATGAATATATATATATAATTATTAAAAAATATTAAAATAAAGTTTATATTACAGTTGAGGGATCAAATGAGATATTTTTTATAATTTTTTGTATTATGTTATTCTCTTTGACCACGGTTAATGGGGTCTAACGAGGGCTGATAATTTTATTAAAAAACAAAAGTTAATGATTATTTTATAATTTTTAATATGTTAATGGTTAAAATAATCATTCCAACATAATTTGAATGACTATTCATGTAGTTTACACATGATAAATTTAAGGCAACCGTTCACACCTTACGCTAATTGGTTTCTGATGCACTCTACCTGTAAACGAACCGAACGCACACGAATGGAGGTATATTCATATTTGTTCATTTAATAAATAAACGAACCTGAACATAAACGAAACAATTTTTTGTTTATGTTCATTCATTAAGGAATATAGCTTGTTCATGTTCATTTATTTAAATGATAAACGAACATAAACGAACATAAAAAAGGAACATAAACGAACAACACAAACACAAAAGAAAACTTATTCGAACACAACAAATGAATGTAAAAGAAGTAAACAACAAGAATAACAACTTAAAATTCATTAATATAACCTGCAACTTTAGAGTTAATTTGTCCGAATACGAAAAACACATACATAAATCATAAATAAATTATATGAACATAATAAAGTCTTAAAGTTAATTTGTTCAACAAAACAATCTTCTTGAAATCCAAACAACTTCAATAATCTTCGTAACATATTCAACTTGCCATCTGTTCGAACATAAATTAACATAAATGAACGAACATAAACGAATATATAACCGAACGTTCACGAACGTAAATGAACAAACGAACCCTTTATTCGTGTTCGTTTATTTAATTAAACGAACACAAAATCTTGTTCATGTTCGTTTATTTAATAAATAAACGAATTTCTCGTCGCACGATTCATGAACGGTTCGCTGAACGTTCAGTTCATTTACATGACTAACTCTACCCAGCTTTACAAAACTACTTGGAAAAGGTTAAATTATTTTAACCACCATTCTTTAATATGGATGGTCAACATTTGCCAATCGCTACCAGCTTATAAAACCCCTGAAAAATGGTAAAATTTATTTCCATTATTATATTATTACTAAAATAATAAAATAAATATAAGTTGAATTTAATTAAAAACTGAGGACGTCTTAACAGTTAACAGTTTTGTAACACCCCCAACCCGTATCCGACCCGGATACGAGTCCGAAGTGTCACATTGACTTTTTAAACATTTATTCGTATAAAATAGTGAGTAATTTAAAACTTTTGTACATGTAACTTATTCAAAATATTTCCAGAACTATTCAGGCTTACATGTTTTTGACAAAACCGATCAGAGCATATACAATTCAAAAACGTTAATTACATGCCAACTATTTGCAATGTACAGAATACATCGAATTCAAGAGATCTTTTCTGATCTGATCTTCGGTAAGAAGTAACTGACCTGTCTTGCTCCTCATCACTTTTTACTCTTCTCGTAACCTACGTGTGAAACAATCACACGCTAAGTCTATGACTTAGTGAGGCAATAAACATATGTGCAAACTTTAACTAATAATCATACATGAACAATTACTGTTATCATTCATGCAATTCATACACTCTTACAGGTAACAAATACACAAAAGCAACTATATCATCATCTTCATGCTTATCACTATCATTGATTCTTTTTATCATATGATTCAATAAACCATTTGTACAATCATATATCATACATAACATTTCACAAGGAAACAAACATATCATCATATCAAGTTTATTAATATTATCTCGTATTTAGCCCATGTACACTAGTGAGAACTCAAGGTATGTGAGTACATTGAGGTTGTGCACCACTATGCTGTCACAACAGCTCGATCAATGTCCCGAAGGACCAGTCCATAGATTCCG